CTTTTCACTTAAAGAACTCACTCTCTGAAGATCTGTTCGTTCAGAGGGGACAAGATGTGAGGGCAGGGAGGGATGTTGGGGTATTCGTAGGCCCTTCTTATGCCACACTTCTAGATTCAGACTCCGTGAATCTCCAGTGTAGGATAAAGAGTTGAGCCGAATGGACACTGGTTTATTGATATTTAGTTCAGTGAGCTGAAGTGATTTCACCATCCATCTGACTCAAATCTCAGCTGAGACTTTGTTGAACTTTTGCTTCTCATTTGAATGGATATTTGCAAAAGAGAAAACTAAGGAGAGGAAACATAAAGGTATCAAATCTGTAGCTGTAATTGACATCTGAAGGCACGAGGCTTCAGGCTGACACCATGTCCTGGAACATGGCATTGGGATCCACCACGTCCCATCACGACCAGTCAGGGCCATGGCTTGCCTGGAGTTCCATTTCTATTCCAGAAAGCAGCAGTATTTTAGGAACATGCGAATTTATATTGTAGGTCACAGAATTTAGGTTTAAATTCAAATACCTGGAGATTACTCTGGATATGTAAAATATGCCTCAAAACTGTGTCATATTAAAAGTGCATTTTCTTCTTCGAAAAAGAAGTCATATTTAAGATTTCCATGTCAACTGTAAGGGTCCAAGCAGTTTCTGCGGCATAAATGCAGGTTTCCATTCGTGGTTTAATGGTGCCTGGGTTGTAACAGAAAAGGTGTTTGGGCAAAAATAGTAAGGGAAAAATGATTCATATTTGACTTCTGTCTACATTAGGCCTGTTCAGGGGGATGGAATTTAGAAATCACACAATAAATATGAGACCAGAATGCTTGATTGAGGACTTGCTTTCATTTCTTCACTATCCTGAGCACAGGGACATGTGTTTTAAAGCCTTTAAAGGCATTTGTGAGAGGATATATATATATAGGCCATAAAAGGGATTACCTATCAAAAATAAGAATCAGTAAAGAATACAGCTGACTCGCAGGGAAAAAAAAACTCTTGCCAGTTTTAAATTGATCTCGGTTCTCTTTATTATTTTTAAAAATTTATTTACTTTTTTTTCCTTTTAATTGGAGTAAAATTGCTTTACAGTGTTGTGTTAGTTTCTGCTGTACAGTGAAGTGAATCAGCTATATGGATACCTATATCCCCTCCCTCTTGGACCTCCCTCCCACTCCCACCAATCCCACCCATCTAGGTCGTCACAGAGCACCGAGCTGAGCTCCCTGCGCTATACAGCAGGTTCCCACTAGCTATATTTTACACATCGTAGTGTATTTATGCCAAACCTAATCTCCCAATTCGTGCCACCCTCCCCTTCTCCCACTGTGTCCACATGTCTGTTCTCTACGTCTGCGTCTCTATTTCTGCCCTACAGATAGTATCATCTGTACCATTTTTCTAGATTCCACATATATGTGTTAATGTACAATATTTCTTTTTCTCTTTTTGGCTTACTTCACTCTGTATGATAGACTCTAGGTCCATCCACATCTCTACAAATGACCCAATTTCATTCCTTTTTATGGCTGAGTAATTGATCTTGGTTCTCTTTAAAAATGGACTTGGGGAGTTCCCTGGCTGTCCATTTCTTAAGCATCCAGTGGTTAGGACTTGCCGCTCTCACTGCCGTGGCCCTGGGCTCGGTCTGCGGTCGGGGAACTAAGATCCCGCAAGCCACGCAGCACGGCCGAGAAAAAAAAAGAACTTGGAAAAGATTATTTTTTTTTTACAAACTGTAATCGTGACCTTGCTTTGTTTCCATGTATTTAATTTTCCTGAAGAGGTATTTCAGAAGACAGCCTTTCTGGAAATGGTTTTTCCTCTATTACCCAGAATTGGACTGATGGTGCTTGCAGGAGTGGGGTTCCAACCTGTACTACGCATCAGCTGTTGGGCGTGGGTGTAGAAGGGACATCGTAACTGTACATCTGTATGTGGTCTGAGGCGGAAGGTCTGTTCCCTCCAGTAACCTTAACACACGAAGGGTCTGCCTTGCAGGTGGCTCGTTTCCCGGCCAGTAGCACGGTAGACAGGGCTTATTGTTTTAAAGGTAAAGCCGTCCCATCTATTCCTTGGCATCTGTACTAGGAAGTGCTGAAGGAATCCTTTTAGAGCTTTTGGCTCCCAGTACAGACAGACAGACAGACAGACACGTGCTTCTCTCAACCTGGCTGAGAGCATAACCCCAATGTCTGCCTCCGGAGTATGGATCTAGAGAAAGAAACTGCACTTTCCAATATATGCCAGTATCCTTCTAGATTCTTAGGTACCTCTGAGATGAGTATGCAGTCATTCACATTGTTGTAAAATTTAATTATTAAAAGAGCACTGTTCTTAAGCACGGTGTGCTTGCCTAGTACTCAGTGCAGCCCAAACAACTTTTCCAGATGGGTTACATGGAGTCAACTTCATCCAGGTTGTCTCTGCTATAGAAGTCATCCCTCACCGTATGTCCTTACATATTTTTCTTGTGAGCTCTGGAAAGTTACAGTACACTGTCTAATTCTGCCACTGTGCTATTTCTTTTATGCGCGCAGTGGGCAGACCTTTTGAAATTTGCCCTTTGCTTCTCCTCCCTCTCATAATTCAGTTTTTTCCTTATTCTTTTTTCTGATATTACTTGAGATTACTGGAAAGAATAGGATTATCTAGGACTGGATCTCCAGCCACCCTCAGCAACTCGAATCCCTGTGAAATGGCAGCTAACCTGGAGCTGGCCAACTCAAATGGAATCTTGATCTCCTTACATGTAAACTTCAGAAAACTCAAAAGGAGTGCTTTTAAAAATAGGTCTGCTTGCAGTACGAGAATTATTAGTATATATTACCAGGTAATACTGCTAACTTTAGTTGTGCTCAGATAGGCTTTCCTGTGGATCAGATACATTGAAATGAAAAATTATGAGGACCCAGTGCATTTGCTCATGGTACATCTATTTTATATTTATTCCTTACCTTTGACTTGGCTTGGTCTACAGTAGAATGTTCCAGAAATTTCATTGGGTCTGATGTCTCATTTGGCGCTAATTTATGAGTCTGCTTGGAGTGTTTCCTTGGGCTTCAGTTACATGCCTGCCATAAATTTTAATTACACTAATTAGACAGAGGTGGATGCTTAAGCCCAGTTGGATTCATAACCCTGTTCAGCTGCATCTGTCATTAGTTTTTTCAGTGACATGATTTGGCACCATTTTCCAATGCATTTTCAGGAAATTAGTTTTAAGTTAGAAAAGAACTTGCCTAATAAAGCTACTGACATTCAGCTATCTTCTTTACCTTCTTGGGGAACTGGGCTTGAGTAAAATGTGTGCATTTAAACTATAACTTGTATGTTCTTTCCTCTCCATGACTGTGGGTTATCCGATTGGTTTGGTACTTGAAGAAGGAGTCTTGCCCAGTCCTACAGCCAGGGTGACTAGTCCCGTGCTTATGTCTAGTTTAAGAAGGGCGTGGATTGGTGCAGGGCTGGCCGACAGCCCTTAACACGTGGACCAATGCCAGTTGACTGGCATTCTCTGCAGGAAGCACAGTGTTGAGAAGGATTCTGAAGTCTGGACCCAGCAGGAAGGATGCCAGCTTTGATCAGTGACATGTGCCCTGGGCACGGGACAGTGCAGTCTCAGAAGCACTCTTGCCATTCCTGTTTTACTGAGGATAATCCCATCCGTGCCTAATGCAAGCCTCTAAGAGCTCCAAGGCCAATTAGCATCCTCCAGACCAGGCTGGGCTGCCTGAAAGCAGAGGGTGTCAAACAAGCATCAAAAACTCCTAGAGGGCTTGTCAAAACCCAGGTTGCCCAACCCCAATCCGCAGAGTGTGGCATTCAGCAGATCTGGGGTGGGGCCTGAGGTTTGCATTTGTAACAAGCTCCTAGGTGGTGCTGAGGCTGCCAGTCAGGGACTCCACTTTGAGAACCACTGCCTTAGAGGCTAGAGGGCTATGTGCACCTGCCATTTAGCTGTCCTCACAGCTCTCTGTCACCTCAGAGAAGTCTTTGGATTTTGGTTTTGGGCCCGTGTGCCAATCTCTGTCCTCCACAGCACTGGGTTCTGGTCAGGTCTGGAGTTCCTTGTTTCTACCCGGAAATAGCCCTCATCCTTAGCCACAGGTAAACCTAAAGGGCTTAAAACATTCTACTCCTGGTATGAAAGGATGCTCTGAAAACACAAGTCACATCTCTTTCACTTACTCTGCATTCAGCACCACCTCAGGACACCAGTGTGTCTGTCAAGCGGGCACGCGGACATTAGGCCCACGGGGAGTGATGAGAGCCGTAGTTTTACACCTTGAGCATGGTCGTGCTGACACAGTGCAGCTGACCGGTTTGTATCCACCCAGATTACCCCACACCACATCCACTCTCACCAGGGCTGAGTCCTATTCTTTCATATCCTTGCTGGCGTGTTTATTCTCCGTTTCATGCATTTAGCTTTTGTTGAGTATCTACTCTGCCAGGCGTTTTGAATTGCATGTGTGGTCTAGGCCTCTGGCACGATACAGAATCCTGTGATGGGCGCATTTCTCTCCTGGGATTTTCTCAAGGCGGGCTCAGCAGTTAGGCACGGCAGAGAAGGGAGGAGGCCAGAAGCATCTCTCATGTGTGCCGCACGGTGTTTAGCTACTGCAGAGGGAGGGGCACAGAGAGAAATGAGCCGGCTCCATCCCACTCCAGAGCAGTACACAGAGGAAACAGCACCGTGCACGTGGGCGAGTTGGGGTCTGCCAGTGTTTTGGTCAGTTCTTTGAAACAAACATGACATGGTTACTGTCATCCTGAATCGCATAGGCTGGGGCATATGTCACAAAGGACTTACACATCATTTTTGTTACACCTCATTTCCAGATCCTTTATTTTTGTCGTGTGAGGTTTTACTCAGTGCAATCATGCCCGTATTTATCGGACTGAGTTTCTAGAATCCGTGTGATGGTGCTGAGGATGTGTGAAGACGATGTTTTTTCATCAAGCTCCTGGATTTTTCTGTGTCCCTGTCTCGCAGAGTCTCAAGTATCCAGAGGCAGCTGGCCCAGTTTGAGAGCGAGTCCTGGCCGGGCATGGCCGAGGCCGACAGGGACCGGCTGCAGCTCATCAAGGAGAAGGAGGCCCTGCTTCAGGAGCTGCAGCTCATCATCCAGCAGAGGAGGCCGGCGGAGGACGTGGCCCGGCTGGAGGAGGAGCGGCGGCGCCTGGAGGAGGAGCTCCAGCGCTCCCGGGCCACATCCGTGCAGGGTGCCACGGAAAGGTGGGCTGGCCGGGCGGGCGCGGCCGGCTTCCGGCGGAGGAGCAGCTGGCAAAGCCGAAGCCTTATTACTCAGGCAGCTACGGCCTGGTGGAAGGTGGAGGGAGCCGGTGCCTGCCGTCCGCAGGGGGTGCCCAGGGCTCGGAGGCTCCCGGTCCCTATTACAAGTGGGAGGTGGTCGAGAACCGGATGGAGTAAGGAACACCGGGGAACCCACCACTTAGACCCCGCCCACTCCCGCTGCAGGTGCCGGGTGCACCCGCCCCCTGTGTTTTCAGGACAGCGCCCAGGACAGGTGTCGGGTCTCCAGCCAACAGGGGGCCGGAGGCAGGTGGTGGTCGGCTCCGTGACCACGGAGGAACCTCGTTCCTGACATCAGCAGCATCTCCGTTTCCACAGTCTACCTCTTACTTTTATCTCCGACTTTGATTTCTCGCCAGCAAAGCCTGCCCTTTTGGCAGCAGGAAGTCTCCGCTCTCTCGCGTGTCTGTTTCTGAACGTGCGTCTCTTCAGTTGGTCTTGGGGCTCTTTCCCAGCGTGGGACACATGAAGCCAACACAGAGTCCTTTGTCCTCTGTTGCTCGCCCTTTCATTGTGTGCCCTGTCTCCTGGTTTGCATTTGCTGTGTGTGATCACAGATTGCTGTGTGATCACAGATTGCGTGGAAGGCTGGGTCTGCTTTCCACGTTGCACAGCTGTCAGAAGTTTGGGAATATTTGCTGAGCTTTGGAGAGCCCACCGCCCATTTGATAACATACTGGCTCCTTAAAATTCACTGTATTACCAGGATCATAAGCTGTATCTCTGTGAGCATTCTCTAGGTAGAGTTTAATAGTCACCTGAATTATTTGGTCAGTACAGATGCCCTTATAACGATTATTTCATCGAATGTTAGGACTGTCCTCTGTTTTTGCTGGGGGTTGTCTCTGCTTGGATGTTCATTGTTAATTGATAGACAGGTCTGTGTTGTGTCCTGAGGGGCTAATGTCAGCGCTGGAGGGAAGCAATGGTGATTGGAGAGTACAGTGCATAGGAATGGGCAGAGAGCATGTTAGTTGTGGTGGCGTGCCCTGTCCCCTCGCTCAAAATAAACCCAGAGCAACGGGACTATGAAATGGAAGTTTCATCTGTGCTCTTGTGCTTTTGTATCGTTTCAGCTTAACATCACCTTCCATTCTCCCCATGCTGTTCTCTTGTGTATGTTTCAGGTCAGAGGGCCTGGGAGTTCTGGTTGGTTTTCTCTTAAGGGGCAAGGACTCAGTCCCACGAACGCCACATGTCCACCACATGTACCAGGACCCCACACCCATGTACCCTTGAGTGTTTCTGCCCTCACCACGTGGAAATCCAGAGTGCAGGAGTGCTGTGGTCCCAGGGCACAAATCCATGGAACCCCACGGAGCTGGTTTTACCCTGATGCCTGGGTTCAGGGCCTGGGTCACCCAAGCTCGTTCACCTGACGGGGTCTCTTGTGGAACCAGCCTGGGAGCTGCATCCTGGGGCGCAGGGCCTTCAGCTGGGACTGAATTGGCCCCAGGTGTCTCCTGAATCTGGCACTACACGGCCTTGGGCAAGGAGGGCCGTGCACAGGTGCTAATAAGCACCTTTCCGGCCAGGTGATGGGGCCAAGTGCCCCATGAGTGTTCCCTCGGTGGTGACGTTCTGGGCCTAGCGGATGCAGGCCCGTTTCTCCCTGCCGCCTGGGGCCCAGAGGCGGGGGGCTTTCCCTGGGATCAGACTGAGGGCGTTAGAAGAGACCCGGTCTGGGAGGAGGGAGCCAGGCAGAAAGGTATGGAGGTACGCATCTCAGGGCTGACGTGTGCCAGCTGTCTGGCCAGGCCCAGTCTTTGCCCGCCTTGGTTTCAGTGGCATCACTGTCAGATGGAAAGTTTGAGCCAGGTTAGTGAGTGTTACTGGGGATTGGGGGGGATGTAAGTTTTTTCCTCTTTCAAAGGGAAGAGCAGTTGTTTTGTGGGGCGCCTACTTGGCCGTATGTTAGACTGCCATCATTTTGATTTGTAAACGAGAGCTGTTTTGTTCTAGAAGCAAACATATTCATTTGTACATTCACTTAATAGCTATTTATCGAGTGCCTGTCCATGTCGGGCTCTATTCTAGGCAGTGGGCGTAGTGCTGTGGGAAAAAATTTCATTTTAGAAAATAATGAAGTTGAGAAAAGTAGGTAGAAAACTACCTCCAACACTGTGGCAGTTTTTTAAATTTTATTTGTGTTTAATCTTTTAATTCTGTAGATTTTAGAACTGCACGTAGTTTTGCCTGGAAGGGGGCTTAGCATGAGGGAACCTGATTTGTTCCAAGGAATTCCAGTAGGTTACTGCATGCTGTGCATTTGTATCCATATTCTAGTCTAGTCTCCCATCCATCTGTTCATCCACCCACACCCATCCTCCCACACACCTCAGCCACCCATCCGTATGCCCATCTGCCTTCTGCTATCTGTCCATCCAATCCACCTGTTCACCTATCCGTCTGCCTGTCCCTCCTCCCACCCCTGCATCCGTCAGTCCATCCAGCCACCCACTCATTGATTTATCCATCCATCTTTCCACCCATCCATCCACGCATGCATGCATGCATGCATCCACCCACCCACCCATGCATTCATCCACCTATCCACCCATGTGCTGAACTTCTACAGTGTATCAGGCACTGTTCAGGCGGCCAGTGGCACATTTTTAAGCAAGACAAAAACAGTCTGTTATCTTGGTGTTTATGACCTTGGATGTGCTTTTTTAGAATTTAGTCACTGACACCTCAATCAGTTTGGGGGAATTTACAGTTGAATTTCTTGTTAGGAAAATATACTTGGCATCTTTGAAATCCACCAGTGGACTGTTTTTGTACCTACAGGATTCTACTTCAGGAAAAAAGAAACTGTCTCCTGATGCAGCTGGAAGAAGCCACCCGCATAACGTCCTATCTCCAGTCCCAGTTACAAAGGTGGGTAACTTGTTATCATCTTATAACGACGTGGCTGTGAACTTCACAGTTCCCTTTGGCTTGGTTTTCTCTCCTAGAACTTGGAACCTGCAGTGGTTGTAAACACTGGACAGGAAAGTGGATACACGATATTTTTAAGAGGAGCTGCTCATATATGATCCAAGGAATACGAGAACCAAATGTGAATTCAGAATAATGAATCATTTATCGAAGGATTTTGTAACTCACAGCATCAGGAGTGTATATATCCATCTACATAGATGCACACATACACTTTAAATTATTTCTTTTTAAGATATTCATTTTAATGAGGCATGAATATCTTTAAAATCTGATTTGGATGCTCAGTAAGAGCTCCAGTCTTCAAGCACTTACCATATCGTGAAGTGTAGTGTTAAGGGCTTTCTGTGTATTACTTTCTCAGTTCTCCCCCTCACAGTGCCTTGAGGCAGGAACCACTATCATCCCAGCGCCGGGTGAGAAGGTGGGAGGCTCGGAAAGGGCAAAGCCCTTGACCAAATGCATTCAGCTAATCTTGAGTGTGAGCTGGAACTTGAGCTCGAGCAAGAGCCCTTGACGTTAACCACTGCTCTCGACTGACATTCAAAGAAACAAAGGAAATATTTACGAAGGGGCGGGTGTGTGTGTGTGTGTGTGTGTGTGTGTGTGTGTGTGTGTGAGAGAGAGAGAGAGAGAGAGAGAGAGAGAGAGACGTGTGTGTGTGTGTGTGTGTGTGTGTGTGTGTGTGTGTGTGTGTCTTAAAACGCTCACAGGTGCTCAGAGGTGTTGAAGAGGCGCCGGGGTGAACGGGCCCGAGGCAGAGTTTCGCTCCTCTGGAGCAGACCGGAGGCATGACTCGCGGTGGGGACGGGCAGGCTCCAGCCGCGGGCTCCAGGCTGCTCTTCTCGTTTCAGCCTGTCCGCCAGCACCCTGACCATCTCCTCGGGGAGCAGCCGCGGCTCCCTGGCCTCCAGCCGGGGCTCGCTGGCCTCCAGCCCGGGCTCCCTGAGCTCTGTCAGCTTCACCGACATCTACGGCCTCCCGCAGTACGAGAAGCCCGACGCCGAGGGCGGCCCGCTCCTGCGCTTCGACCTCGTCCCCTTCGACTCCCTGGGCCGGGACGTCCCCTTGGCGGACGCCCCGGGCCCCGCGGGCCTCCACAAACAGAGGCGCTCCCTGGACACGCCGCAGTCCCTGGCGTCCCTGTCCTCGCGCTCCTCGCTGTCCTCGCTGTCCCCGCCCAGCTCGCCCTTGGACACGCCCTTCCTCCCGGCCTCACGAGACTCGCCCCTGGCGCAGCTCGGGGACGCCTTCGAGGTGGCGGGCGTGGGCGCCCTGGACAGGCTGCGCGCTCAGGCCTCCACCGTGGGGGACGAAGACCCGCCGGGCGCGGCGTCCCTGCCGCCGCACGGGTGCCCCGGGGACGGGGAAGGACCTCACGAGCGAGGACCGCAAGCGGCTGCCGCTCCCACGGCTGCAAGTACGTACTGATGGGTCCGGTGGGCGCCCCGGGGCGGGGGAGGAAAGGTCTCGAGTTCAGGGAGGAAGCCGTGCATCCACATAGAAGCCAGCTGGCTCTGCTGTGGCCTAATGAGCCCTCAGCTTAGGACCCTCCAGGGCAAGCGGAGGTCCGCGCGCCCCGGCCGCCCACCCGGCAGCCCGCTCGCGCGTTCTGCATGCTTCTGCCCTGGGTCCTTGAAATGTCATGGAAACTGGCAAAGTAGTCTTTCCCAGGCATTTGGCTTGTTTTCAGAATATACTTAATTTTCGAAAGTGAGACAGTTCCTCCACATTCGGAGGCTGCTAAAGAAGTACTCGGGCCTTAACTCTCCAGGGCGTGTGCCCAGATATAGCGTTGTGTGTGTGCCCGCCTCAGACCAGCACTGGGAATGCTGTCTGGCTGTGGCCTGGCAGAAATCTCTACTTCCGTTGGCCCTGTGACTTCATCTCTTCATCCTTTGTCCTTGTACTTTTTTTTTTTTTTTTTTAATTTATTTTTGGCTGCATTGGGTCTTCGTTGCTGTGCGTGGGTTTTCTCTAGTTGTGGCGAGCAGGGGCTACTCTTCATTGCGGCGCGCGGGCTTCTCATTGCGGTGGCTTCTCTTGTTGCGGAGCACGGGCTCTAAGTGTGTGGGCTTCAGTAGTTGTAGCACGCGGCCTCAGTAGCTGTGGCTCGCGGGCTCTAGAGCGCAGGCTCAGTAGTTGTGGCGCACGGGCTTAGTTGCTCCGCGGCATGTGGGATCTTCCGGGACCAGGGCTCAAACCCGTGTCCCCTGCATTGGCAGGCGGATTCTTAACTACTGTGCCACCAGGGAAGCCCTGTCCTTGTACTTTTCAAGGACAATTCTATCACGGAGGGAGTGAAAATATCAGTCCTTTCTACCGAATCGATTTCTCCGCTGCTCTTTAAATCCAGAAACATGTAACCATGAGAATTTCATCCGTCCAGTTGGTGTTAATTCAGCTTCTGCTTGGTGCCAGCGTCTGTCAGATTGTAGCCCACATGGAAAACCAGACTGCCGTTGTGGGGAGTATTTTGGCTGATGACTGGTGTACAAAGCAGAGTCTGGGCTTCACCCTCCTTATCTTCACCCCGAGTGCTTTTGTGAGCCAACCTCTAGCGACTTTAACTTCCTTAATTTTGAGAAAAGATCAGAACAGGCCTCTCATTCCTGAAGTTAAGCCCACTTAATTTTTATTTGCACAGCAAAAGTGTTTTTAGACATTCCATTTAGGCGAACACTAAATAATTTGTATAGCATAGTGGATCTCAACCAAGGGTGTTTTTGAACCCTGGAGATACTTGGCAGACATTTTCAGTTGTCACACTTTGGGGCTGGTGGGGTGCTACTGGCATCTGGTAGGTGGAGACCAGGGGCAGTGCTCAGCATCCTACAGTGCACAGCATGGTCCCCATCTTGGCTGGAATGATCCAGCCAAGATATCAAGAGTGCCGAGGCTGAGAAACCCTGGTCATGTACTGTTAAGCAGTCAGCAGCAAAAGGTGGAAATAAAACGTGAATACAAAACCAGGGTGATGTAGCAGAAATGGCTTCGAACTAGCAGCTTATACCCAGATGCTGTTCCCTGCCCTGTTGACTCACTAGCTGTGCGACCTTGAGCGCAACCTTAGATGGAGCTGAGTCTCAGCTTCTGTGCCCTTGAATGAGGTGATCTTTATGGGCTCTTCCATTCACCACCATTCTGTTACCTGTCGGGGTTTTTTTATCTATACCCACGCGGGTTATTATATATATGTAAGATAATAGTCACTTGTAGCATTTACGTGTTTAACCAGAGATCCATTATGTTCTGCGGCAGCCCCGGGCCTTTTTGGCATCTCTGTTATTTTGGTGTCTCTCCCTCTGCGTTTGCAAACACACCTTTCATATCCCCAGATACGTCATTTCTGTAATTCACATGTACAGGGGAACTTTATTCGCTTTGTTCTTTGTTGCAATCACAGGTTCAGTGCTCCATGTTTATTCAAAAAAGAAATTACAAAATAACTGAATCGTGCATCTGTTGCTTGAGCTTCCTCTTCTCAGTGTCCAGCCCCTCGTACCAACTTTTCTTTAAAGGCTGAGATACAAGAGCGTCTGTCTACTTATGCAGAAAATCCACACAAGGTCCAGCACCGCTTTTGGTCCAGGGGAAAGACTGGGTGGGAAGGGGAAGAGCTGACTTAATTTCTGACCCTGATTTCTTTATTTTTCTTTTCTACTTTGTGGTGGATGTTATAGTGCTTCAAGCTTAGACCGGGTGGTCTTTGCTTATGGTGTGGTCAGATACTGCCACCTGGTGGTACATTCATATATGACACTGGGTAGAATACAAAGTAGAGGTACTTGACTTAGCGAATGGGTCTTGGTAGGTGCTCTCACAGGGCTGGGTTGGGTGAGCAGCTTCAGGCATGGACACAAGGGTGACTCCTTGCCTCCCGTGATGCTTATGAAGCCTAGAGTCATCGCAGCTTCATAAAGTTGGCAAGGATCTCAGTACTCGTTATATTAACCCCACCCCTCATTTATGATGTCCGAGGTCACGTAGTTCCCTCCACTCTCCAGTCTGACTAAGAACAATACAGTCTAAGTTTGACTTAGGGAAGCTTTAGCGAGAAAAAGTTTTAGTAACATAAAATTCAGAATTGCCCATTGTGTTTTAAATCAACCTGAGGGGACAGAAGGTGGGGCAGGGGAGTGGGGAAATAAACTGTCATCTTTAACAGTTTTTACATGTTTACTACAATTTTATCTTCCCCACATTTTGAAAGTCAAATGTGTCATGATTTTGAAATCTGTTCCTATTTTCATTTCCCACTGGTATTTGCTAATATAAGTCGGTAAATATTTTAACCTTGTTCATTTGTTTATTGATGTTTTTTATTACATTCATACCCTGTTTAAAATTGTTGGCTTAAATTCTACAGTTTTTTCACTTTGTGCTTTTTTTTCTTTTTTATCTCTTTTCTCATGCGGCTCGACAGAAACGTTCACTGTAAGTGACCTTGGACTTCTCCTTCGCCTTGCTGGTCAGGCTGTGCCACATCTTTGTGCAGTGAATCAATGTATTTAGGATGGTCGGGGTGTGGCCAGGAAGGGCATAGCTCATAGCTGTGCTTTAATGTAGCTCAACAGTTGCTCTTATTATTGTTGTTGTTGTTTGAATGGTATTCATCCTGGCTATGAAAGTTGTGTAAGAACTTTTCTAAGAGCTTGACGTATTTTTTCCTTCTTGCGTTTTTTTCCCAGACTTTAACACTTTCATTATTTTAATATGCCAGCTGGCCGCTTTGCCCACGATGTGATTTTCCTTATACTTTCCTCCCTTTTGTCAAGCAACGTTGCTGTCCTTAGGTCTCAGTGTCTGTCTGTGTGTGTTTAATGATGGAAAGGTCTGAGGTTTATAAAATGAACGTGTGGAAGGTTGTTTATTCCTTACTTCACTGGCGTTGCTCCCCACTCTGCGTCTCGTTGCCTTGAAGCCCAAGAACAGATGGTTGCGGTGTGTACTGTGGGGTGTGCCGTGGGCTTTCTTTCTCACCCAGGGCAAGTGCTGACCGTACCTCCTTCTGTCAACTCCTGCATCCAGTTGCTCCATGAATGTGCTAAGCCCAGGATCACTGAGGATTGATTCCCCCATTTCCTTTCTCTCTTCATCCACTTTCATTGCAATGAGAGAAATTTTGGCAGTCACACCGTTGGGTTGCCTGGAAGTTAACTGGATCATTGTGCGGTGTTACTGAAAGGCATGTAGGGCTGAATGTCAGGGCTGGGAATGGAAGTAGTGAGCCGTTGTGTTTGCTGGGGTTCCATGGAGCAAACTGAGGGGCTCTATCTGCAGTTTAGAGCTGGAGGCTCTGGGTCCTTCCATGGGGCCGGGGTGACGAGCAGAGCTGGACTTGGGAGTCCTCGTCTACGATCTGAGAGTCAGTGCCTCTGGCCACCCCAGGACAGAGCCAGCTTCTGCCGCTGACTGAGGCGGAGCCGGTGGCCCCCACGCTGGGCGCTGCAGGCCTTTGAAAGGTCGGCTTTTGTCCGCAGTTAACATCGTGAGACCAAAGGCCACAGCCCTGTCTGTTTTGTACCCCGATGATTATATTGGGGTTTAATTGTTCTGTGAATAATAAATTGGTTGAACAGAGAGATGGTCATTGGTGGACTCGCTGTTTCCCTCAATTCAGGTGTGCACAGGTGTCTAGATTTTCAATTTCTAGAGCTTAGGTGGCCGGAGAATATAGAAAGACAAGAGGGACCTGCATTATTAACAAGAGGCATTGTGATGCCAGAGTGAGGCTCAGTTTGGGGCTTCATGCTTTAAGCGTGTGTTCTAACCATGTGTGCCTCTCTCCGAAGCGTTGAGGTTCCTGTGTCCATCGTCACATTTAGCAGCGGGAGACGGCATGCCTGTTTCTGTTGCTTTTGTTAAAAGAAACTTGTTGCTGTGAGGGAAGGAGTAGAAAGAGTTGATGAAATGGTAAAAGGGAAGATGTCAGTGGTTGTCTTTGGCTCTTGGTTACAATAGATACGAGGCAAAAATAAGCTGCCCATTGATGGTCCTTTCTAATCCCAGGAGACAGTTCTGGAAGCCAGTGTGGCCCCAGGGCTGCTGAGGAGGACGCTGCAGTTAGAGCGGCAGAGGGGTCACGGAGACGTTGGCAAAGGCCCAGTCTGGGTGCATCTGTGTCCTCTGACTCGAAAGTCACTCCGTTTTGTTGGGGGTTATTTGATGATTTTTAAAAACTCTCTTTTCTGATTATAAAGCAGTGTAGCCTGTGTTCCTTGTATAAAGTATGGAGAATACCAAGCAGCGTCAAGGAGGAAACACCCCCCACCTGATTCTCGGAGAGCGCGCTGCCGTCCACGTGCAGGCAAAATCTCTCTCCAGGCTTTCCCGTGTGACACTCTCTCAAAGGGCCACGCCAAGGGCCTTCCCGCCACCTTCTGACCTGTGCGCTCATTAAGGAGGTGAAGGGAGATTGATGATCATTTAAAGAGCTTTTAAAGAAGTAGCCAGAAGCCTGTTTCTTCCATTTTCCAATATAAGAAAAGACTCGAGCAGAGTGCATGTAAACACACATCTGCACACGTGCTGGCCTGTCTCTGCCACTTCGTGCCTTTGTCTCTGCTCTGCCCTGGGCTCCCGCACTGTCGCCTCCTGAGCCCGGCCGTGTCTCTCGCCTGCAGCAGCGACCCCCCGAGAAGACAGCGCCCAGAGGCTGGAGCGGAGAGCGCGCTGCGTGTCCGCCTGCCTGTCCGATTACTCGCTGGCCAGCGACAGCGGCGTGTTTGAACCTCCCACCAAGAGGTTAGAAGCTGACCTTCTCCCCTGCCTGGGCTGACTTCCCAGAAGGCGCCCCTGCCGAGACCTGTCTGGCTTGACACTCTGTGTGTCGCCGGGGTGCAGCTCTTCTGGCTTCTCTCCATGCGGGAGGGGCCCTGAGCATCCCCACAGGCCCCCTCTGCTCCCAGGTGGCGTCTGGGGACTGGCCTGGCTTCGGGCATCTAGGATGACTGCTTTCTCTCCGGCCCTGGGGGTTGGAAGGCTTGAGCCCGGTAGAGCCGGAAAAGGAGAACGAGTGCGCGAGGGAGACCTGCTTTTCTAGAAAGGACGTTCACTAGAAATGGATGTTTCCCCCGTCCCCTTTCCTTAGCTGGAAGAATCACTTTGCAAGGACAAAACCCCTTGTGGGCTTTATTTTGAGACCTTTGATATCATTTTTTCAGCTCAGATATCTGTATACATTTCACTTATCGCCAACTTTTTTTTTTTTTTTTTTTTTTTTTTTTTTTTTTTTTTTTTTTTTTTTTTTTTTTTTTTTTTTTTTTTTTTTTTTTTTTTTTTTTTTTTTTTTTTTTTTTTTTTTTTTTTTTTTTTTTTTTTTTTTTTTTTTTTTTTTTTTTTTTTTTTTTTTTTTTGGCTGCGCTGCTCAGCTTGCGGGATCTTAGTTCCCTGACCAGGGATCGCCCCCGCGCCCGCTGCAGTGGAAGCGCGGAGTCTTAACCACTGGACCGCCAGGGAAGTCCCCCCTGCAAAGCTTTTAAGAGTATATGTTTTTGATCTTTGTCATAAATATCACATGTGGTTTTGAGAGGTATTTTCTCAAAAAGGCCACTTCGTCAGCAGGTACCCTGGGAGGTGACGTCATGGATCCTGGGGACCTGCCGTGCCCTGCCAGTCACTTAAAGCATTTATTTATGTCGCAACTTAATAAAGCCCTTCTCAGTAAGAAGCACCCCTAGTGTGAGAGAGCTTCTGCCAAGCCCGAGATAACCAGGCCCCCTCGGAATAACGCGGTGCCTTTCCGACTGTGTTCAGGAGTGAGGATGCTGACGAGCCTGCGCGTGGAGACGCTTGCGGTAACGAGGGGCCCCAGATCCATGTTGGATTTTTGTGAGTACAGAAGACTCCTTCCCTGTTGCTTGTAAAGACGATGGGTAGATTGGGGCCCGCCCGGCGACTCACACCTCCACACACAGGCCAGGAGGGATGGAGGGACCCGCGTGATCCAGCTGCTGCTCCCTGGCCTGGGTGCCCCCGGGCCCATCTCAGTGGTCTCAGGTGAAGGGACAGAGGTGATGGGAAGGAGAGATGGGCAAGAGCGGCTCCATTGCCGTCCTCCAACAGCGAGTCACAGCCGGGGACTCTCACCCCACGGGCACAGTCAGGCCCTTGGGGAAGTTCCCGCCGGAGCTGGGGTAGCCGGGTGCTGTGCAACACTAAGCGTTCTGGTTTCTAGCTACAGTGTCTAGAAAGGCAGTACCCAGCAGTGTTCAGACGAACAAGGAAGGATGTTCACATCCCAGCAGCTTTCTTTTGCTCACTCTTGTCATCCTAGTGTTTCTCGGCACTCGTGACATTCGGGCTGGGTTACTCTCGGTGGGGGGCCGTGCTGTGCCCTCTGACGTGTTGAGCAGCAGCCCTGGCCTCCACCCACTACACGCAGTAGCCCCCCTCCACTCAGTGTGACAGTAAGAAACGCCTCTAGACTTTGCACAGGTCCCCTGGGGGTGGGGTGAGGACCACTGCAGTAGTTCAAGCAGGATTTCTGCACCGTGGGGCATTTGCAGTCTGTGAACATGCATTTTATTTTCTAGGCACGACAGTGCCAGCGAGTGTCTCCTCGTGAACGTGCTCCAACTGAAGAACTTTGCCGGGCTGGTGGTGAAGGAAGACTGCAAAATGTAAGCTCCCGCGCCAGTGGGGGCCGTGTCCTCCCCCCGGGCCCTTGTCCACACGGCACCACTGGCTGACCTGCTGCACGTGGCAGTTTGGGGAGGGAAAAGACTGTCTTGGAACCTGAATTTACAATAAAACGCCAGGGAGTGTCTGTCTGAAATCTAAAGGATTGTAAGTTTTAAGAAGAGGCTGGTTTATTATTTGAGGCAGGTGGAGTTACTGGAGCCAGGCTGGTTATGTGCTGTGGCCATGCTGACAAAGTGCCGGGTGCCCATCATTGGCAGCGTTAGGGCTTAAAACGTCCATTCTGGTCACAAGGCTGGTGGCGACACAGCCACACTCGGCTCTTGCGATCTGATGAGGTGCCTGAAGAGGCCTCAGGCTGGGCTCAGGCATCCTTGTCCGAGCAGGGAGAAGGAAATCTGTGTTGTCCCCAGTGGGGAGATGGGTGCCCGATGAGGGTGTGAGGTCCCACTTACCCTGGCGGGTGAACCCACCGGTGATGGGTGTTCAGGCCCGACGGTGCCCTCCCCTTCCGTGAGTCGTCTTTGTAAACTGGCCTCCTGAAGGCCTTGGAAGCAGCCTGGTTTTCAGCGGCTGAGGGTTCGCCCTGGGATTCTGCTCGCCCTGATGTGTACTTCACTCCACTGATGCGGGAGCTTCTCCTGGGTGCTGGCTTCCACGCTGGGGGTGGATAGGGCCGGGAGCCCAGCCCGGCGGGTGCCTGGGTGGGCGAGCAGTCTGAGAGGCAAGGCAGGTAGAGCTTGGAGAGGGAGCCAGGGGGCCGTGGAGAGATCAGTGCAGGTGTTTTCCCACAAAGATGGTAAAAGCAGAACCTCTGTTTGCGTCCCCCTGAAGTCCTAACCACTGACTTGGAAGTCTTCTCTTTGTGATTGGGTTTTTCCCCCTGATCTCCAGGGGCACGTAAGTCCTTTGGGCTTACTCTTAGTTGAGAAAAGGATCTTTTCCAAAAGACATTAAAATTCTGCACATGGGCAGTGGAACAGGGCGGCGTATGTGCACACGTATGTGGTCCATGCGTGTCACGTGCAGATGTGTCAGTAAGCGCCGCCTCTGTCTGCTTTTTCCTTCCTCTCTTGGTTCCAGACACATCCGCGTCTATTTGCCCCCGCTTGACTCCGGCACGCCAAACACTTACTGCTCTAAGGCTCTGGAATTGCAAGCCCCCTTGATATTTAATGAAGTTTTCAGAATCCCTGTGCATTCAAGCATGGTGACGTTGAAGTCCCTTCAGTTATACGTGTGCTCAGTGAATCCGCAGCTGCAGGAAGAACTGCTGGTACGGCGCCCTCCTCACCCTCTCCCCCTCCCTCCCCTCCTTCCGGTGTCCTGATGTCAAGCGATCTCTGTAGCCGGGAGGACAGAAAGGGATGATAAGACCCCTTATCTTGTCAAGTGTTCTGTAATTTAAATATATTATCTCAGCTAATACTTGCAAAACTCCTATGCAACGGCTTCTGCATTATCCCTGTCTTGCGTTGAGAAATTTGGTAGATAGAAGTATAGGATGGTCACTGAAATTTGAATTTCAAATAAACTATGGATGCCTTTTAGTGTAAGTATGTCCCATGTAATATCTGGGACATACCTCTATTTTAAAAAAATCTGTTTATTTGAAATTGCAGTTCACCCAGATGCCCTCTATTTTATCTGGCAACCTTATAACTGGGCAGGTCAGCAGTCCGTCTTCACCCTGGCCAGCCAGTGCAGGGCCAGGAGCTTGGAAGCCAGGGTGCTTTCTTCCCAAGTTTGGAATTTTCCCCCTTGGTCTCACCCCTTCAGCGGCAGAATTAAAGATTGGAGAGTTCCACCAATCCTCTCTCTCTCTTTTTTTTGGGGGGGGGGGGCTGCCTGGGAATGCCATGGGGTGGGTCCGGAAGTGTAGACCGGTGGTGGGGCAGCCTCAGGAGAGACTGAACTACAGAAAAGCAAGGGCACAAAACACCCATGCGTTATGGCAAAAATGGTTTGTTTTTGAACCACAATTTGCTCAGTTTGTAATTTTTTTTTGGGGGGGGGGGGCGGGGTTATTTATTTATTTATATTATTTTACACCAGTCCTCTGTTTTTTCAAAAATTCCTGCTAGAATCAGCGGCTCTTTGAGTGGCAGATCCTGAGCCTGACCCACCATTCCATGTCGTCCATTCTCTGCCCCTGTTCCCCTTCTAGCACTTTCTGATTGGGCTGAACAAGTAAGCGCGGAGCCACCCCCATTACGATCCTTTTCGATGACTTTCATTTTACTGCAGTCCTTTGAATAGCAGTGACACATTGTATGGCCTTTCTGCTTAAGATTAAAGGGTGACTTTGATGCCCATTGGTTGTTAAAGTGTAGTCATTCAGGGCCTGTTCGGCTTTTTTTTTTTTTTTTTTAAACACCACACAGGGCATTGCTCAGATTAACTTGGCTGATTACGATGGTTCGAGCGAGATGCAGCTGCGCTGGTACTCGGTGCAGGTGTTCACCGGCCCCGAGCCCCCCCGGCGGGAGGATGAGCGGCTGGGACACAGCGACTCCCGGGACCCTGCGCCCGCCACGTCTGGAAAGACAGTAGGTGGCCTGGCTTTGAGACGGGCTTTTCCTGGGGACATTGTTTCTAAGAAACGCGTGTAGACTTAGTCTTAGAACACAGTGGCAACGAAGAAGCAGGGTTTCAAGGGAAGTAATAAAAACGGACTATAGTGATGTACGTGGCCATTCATGGTAATGTTCATGATCACGAGTGATGCGTTGGTTGCTTTAAAATTTGAGTCCTCAGAGCCACATGGAAAGGCCAAGTTACTGTCTTGCTGCCAGCCGGGGGTGAGCCGCTTCCCCGCTGGAGAGCAGCCGGGGACGGCCGCCAGCCCGGCAGCAGGGATGCTCCCCGCGGGCCGTGCACGCGCCACTTTCCTCTTTGCCGCCCGCACGCCGCTGGCCTCGGCTGCTTCTTAGCAACGTCCCTTTGGTCCTGTAGGACGCGGTGACAGTGCTGCTGGCGAGAACCACGGCCCAGCTGCAGGCGGTGGAGAGAGAGCTGGCCGAGGAGCGGGTGAAGCTGGAATACACGGAGGAGGAGGTCGTGGAGATGGAGCGCAGGGCGGAGCAGGCCGAGGCTGTGTCCGAGAGGTGAGCGCGGCCAGCAGCCCCTCGGGGGAGAGGCCGCCGGGGTGTTCGTCAGGCGCCACGCTGCATAGAATGTGTGCGGCGGGCTCTTCGGTACCTTTGCCCAGAAGTCGGGATTCTCACGGGGGATCGTATGCCAGTCGGCACGAGGGCAGTACATTGACCCCAGCTCTACGCGTAGGCTTTTCACCTTTCCCTCTGTCTCCTGACGAGTTTCTCTTAAAGGGGGGGACTATTGAGGGACTCCCTCTGCCCAGAGTGAACACAATAGGGCCCTTTAAGTTTTGTTTTTTCCTTATTAACTGCTTTATTGGGATATAATCTCCCTACCATACAGTTCACTCATTAAGTGGACAGTTCGGTGGTTTTTGGTACAGGCACAGAGCTGTGCCCCCAACATCACACTCAAGTTGAGGGCATTTTCGTCGTGCCGAAAGGAAACCCCATACCCATTACCAGTCCGCCCAGTCCTTGCAGCCCCTGGCAACTGTCCGTCTGCGTGCCATCTCCAGGGATTTGCCTGTCCTGGGCCTTTCTTGTAAATGGAATCATGCGATGCCCCTTTACGTCTTCCCCGGAGCAGCCCGTGGGTGAACGCTTGACCCAGGGCAGACATGTCTGCAGTAGAGGAATAGCTCAGATGGGCAGGCACCGCGAGGGAATCGCTTCCCGGCGGGTCCTTTCCGGCAGCACTTTCGTGTTGCCTTACTTCCACGGTTTTCCATAAAGAGCATCATGTTTCCAAAGCTTGCTACTTCTTCCTAATAGCTTTCTCTGGGTTTATTTTCAAGAGGAATTTATTTCCGAAAGGGAGAGTGCACGGCAGAGGGGGAAGGGTGTGTGTTCAGGGATGGGCAGGAGGCTGGGCGGGCTCGGGGAGAGGGGGGTTCCGGGATGCTGGCATCTTCAGCGGCTGCAGTTGGGCGTTACAGACAGACAGATCCTCTCAATGAAAGGCCTTGTAGCTCTGTCTTCCCTACGAAACAGAACTGCCTTTCATTTTATGAGAAAAGCAACCGTCTTCAGTCACTGGAAGCAAATATTGGGTGTCTCTGCTGCTGTGCTCTGAGTGCAGCAGTAAAGTCAGTGCCCTGATGAATGTTTTGGGGGCTTTTGCCATGCCCGCCTTCAGGAGTTGGCAAGCCGACTCGCTGGACAGTGGCTGTAGCAGCTGCGCCCAGACCAGCCCCCCACACCCAGAGCCCTGCTGCGTTGGTGTCAGCTCCATCCATGGACACACGTTTGCTGGCCAGGCAGACCCTTACGGCCCGGAGAAACTTCAGCCCCCACCTCTGAAGGTAAGCAGAAAAGGACAAAGGATTTCGCGGAGCCCCTGATGTTTTGCCTCACAGCTCCAGGTGCTGCCCTGGAAGGAGGGGCTTTGTGCCCTACGCGAGAGAATTGAAGTGAGTGGCCTCAGATCTGTAAACAGCAGGTACCATGGAAACGTCTGTCTACTTTAAATTAAAAGGAAAGGACAACTAAACGGGGTGGATTTTTACTCCTTCATGTGCCATCTTCAGGGCCGTGTGTGGCTCAGGGTGTTTTGTGGGTCCCTAACGTTTTGGGCGCTTGTCGTTTTTCTCCGTTTCTGACATTAAGAGCAGTGAAGCATCCTTTTGGCCCTTCTGTTCACCTGATCCTAGTTGTGCCCATCACCGTATCTCCACTGGGGAAATCTTTCAGGTTTGTGGTGACAAATGTCTAAGGAACGCAGTGGGGTTGGGAGACACTGTATCAGTGCTCGATTGCAACTTTGTTTCCCAACTCTTCAACTCATCAGAACGTCTACCACCACAGCCCCTGATCTCAGTCCAAAACACAGGTCCTGAGAGAAGTGAGAGCTGCCTGCTTGCAGCCTTCCGCACTGCAGCCCATGCAGTGCCTCGGGTGGAGAGATGTTCGGGGTGCGACTGCCGGTCATGGCCATTATTCCTCTTTCTAAGAGTTTGACAAGCGTTGGCCCACGTCAGGGGCAGTAGCTGTGGGAGGCTAGCTTGGTGCGTCCTCCTCCCTCAACTTTTAATTTTGAAGCACTTCAGATCTACAGAGAAGTTGCTAGAATAGTACAACACATACTCGTATCCCCTTCACCTAGACTCCCCAGTGGTTAGTTCTTCACCACATTTGCATTATCTCTTTCCATGTGCATGTGGTAGCTGCCAGGCATTGCAGATGCAACAGCAAAGTAACAAATGGAAAGTCCTGCCCTGTGGGTAGCAGACAGGGTAAACCAGTAAAATAGAGCAGCGTTTGAGATCGTCAAAGGGGCTACTGAAGAATGAGATGGTAGGGAAGCAGGGTTTGCATTTTTAGAAAGATTTACCATTTTAGAAAGGGTTACATTTAGAAATGTAAATTGGTATCTACAAACATCAGGACTGTAAAATGGTGCAGCCGCTATAGCAAACAGTATGGAGTTTCCTCAAAAAATTAAAACTAGGGACTTCCCTGGTGGCGCAGTGGTTAAGAATCCACCTATCAATGCAGGGGACACGGGTTCAAGCCCTGGTCCGGGAAGATCCCACATGCCGCGGAGCAACTAAGCCCGTGAGCCACACGGCCCGCGTGCCCATGCTCGGCAACAAAAACAAGCCACGGCGATGAGAAGCCCGCACATCGCAACGAAGAGTAGCCCCTGCTCGCTGCAACTAGAGAAAGCCTGTGTGCAGCGCCTGTGCGCAGCAGTACAGACCCAATGTAGCCAAAAATAAATAAATCTATTTACAAAAAAAATTAAAAATAGCATTACCATGTGATCCAGCACTTCCACTTCTGGACGTACGTCCAAAAGAGCTGAAAGCAGGTCTCCAAGAGATACTTGCACATCCACGTTCATAGCAGCATTATTCACAGTAGCCAAGAGGTGGAAGCAGCCCATGTGTCCATTGACAGCTGAATGGATAAGGAAAAAGTGGTATATATGTACTATGGAATATTAGCCTTGAAAAGGAAGGAAGTCACGTCACAGGCTACAACATGGATGAAGCTTGAAGACACTGTGCGAAGTGAAATAAGCCAGTCACAAAAGAATGAATCCTATACGATTCCACTTATATGAGATTCCTAAAGTAATTAAATTCATAGAGATAGAAAGTAGAATGGTGGTTACCAGGGGCTAGAGATGGGGAAATGGGGAGTTGTTGAATGGGGACAGAGTTCGGTTTGGGAAGGTGAAAAAATTCTAGAGATCTCTTCCACAACAATGTAAGTATGTTTAATACTACTGAACTGCACATTGAAAAATGGTTACAATGGTAAATTTTACTTATTTATTTATTGTTGGCTGCGTTGGGTCTTCGTTGCTGCGTGTGGGCTTTCTTTAGTTGTGGAGAGCAGCTACTCTTCGTTGTGATGTGCAGGCTTCTCATTGTGGTGGCTTCTCTTATTGTGGACTGTGGGCTCTAGGCGCGCAGGCTTCAGTAGTTGTGGCGCGCAGGCTCAGTAGTTGTGGTGCACGGGCTTAGTTGCTCCGCGGCATGTGGGATCTTCCCGGACCAGGGCTCAAACCCGTGTCCCCTGCATTGGCGGGTGGATTCTTAACCACTGCTCCACCAGGGAAGTCCATGATGGTTAATTTTATGTACTTTTTATAATAGAAATGAAAGGTCATAGAAGTCTCACTGAGAAGGCAGTTTTTGAGCAAAGTCCTTAAGGAAGGAGTCTGGGAGCCTTGTGTGGGGCTGGGGATGGGCATTCAGGTGCAGGGAGCTGCAAGTGCGGGTGGGGTCGGGGTAAGGAGGCATCAGAGCTGAGGACAGAGGGAGTCAAGGGGCCACATCATATAGGGCCTACTCAGGACTCTTGCTTTTTCTCTGAGAGCATTGGAAAACTGGTGGATAGTTTTGAACCCAGGGGTGATGTGATCTGACTCACTTTTTAAATTTTTTCCTAGAATAATTTATTGACATGAAATTCTCATAAAATGAACCCTTTCAAAGTGAACATTTCAGTGAGTTTGAATACATTTACAATGTTGTGCAACCACCACTTCTCTCTGGTACCAAGACGTTTCTTTCACCCCAAAGTAAAACCCCATAACCATTAGCATTCACTCTCCCTTATCTCTCCCCGACCCCTGGCAACCACCAATCTGCTTTGTTTCTATGGATTTGCCAATTCTGGTTGTTTTGTGTGAATGGAATCATCCAGGGTTTAAAAGATCAGACTCCAGGGGATTGTAGCCAGGATGACAGAGTAGGGAAGAGCTCACCTCCACCCACAGGTGTACCAAAAGTACGGCTGCAGTTGACCCTTGAGAAACGCAGGGGTTAAGGGTGCTGACCCACCTCACAGTTGAAAATCTGCATTTGGGAGTTTTTTTTTTTTTTTTTTTTTAACACCTAAAGGAACTAGAAAAAGAAGAACAAATAAGATCCAAAGTTAGTAGAAGGAAAGAAAGAAAGATCAGAGCAGAAATTAATGAAAGAGACTAAAAAGAACAATAGAAAATATCAGTGAAACTAAGAAGTGGTTCTTTGAAAAGATAAACAAAATTGGTAAACCTTTAGACTCATCAAGAAAAAAAGAGAGCCTAGATAAATAAAATCAGAAATGAAAAAAAGAGGGGACTTCCCTGGTGGTCCAGTGGTTAAGACTCACAGACTGCATGGCATAGCAAAAAAAAAGGAAACGAAAAAAAGAAGTTACAACTGACACCACAGAAATACAAAGGATCATAAGAGAGTACTATGAACAGTTGTATGCCAGTAAACTGGACAACCTAGAAGAAGTGGATGAATTCCTAGAAACATACAATTTCCCAAAACTGAATCAGAAAGAAATAGAAAATATGAACAGACCAATTATTAGTAATGAAACTGAATCAGTAATTTAAAAACTCCCGACAAACAAAAGTTCAGGATCAGCTAGCTTCACAGGTGAATTCTACCAAACATTTAAAGAAGAGTTAACACTCATTCTTCTCAAACTATTTCCAAAAATTGAAATGGAAGGAGTGCTTCTGAACTCATTCTATGAGGCCATCATCACCCCGACCAAAACCAAAGACACCACAAAAAAATAAAGCTACAGGCCAATATCACTCACGAACATAGATGCAAAAATGCTCAACAGGATACTAGCAAACCATGCTCAAGTGGGATTTATCCCAGTGATGCAAGGATTGTTCAGTATCCACAAATCAATCTAAGAGATATACACCATGTTACCAAATTGAAGAATAAAAATCAAGATCATGTCAGTAGATGCAGAAAAAGCTTTTGACAAAATTCAGCATCCATTTATGATAAAAGATCTCCAGAAAGTGGGTATAGAGGGAACATAACTCGACCATATATGGCCATATGTGATAAGCTCACAGCTATCATCATATTCAATGGTGAAAAGCTGAAAGCATTTTCTCTAAGATCAGGAGCAAGGCCCACTCTCGCCACTTTTATTCAACATAGTATTGGAATCACTAGCCACAGCAATCAGACAAGAGAAAGAAGTAAAAGGAATCCATATTGGAAAGGAAGAAGTAAAACTGTCACTGTTTGCAGGTGACATGATACTGTACATAGAAAATCCTAAAGACGCGACCAAAAATCTAGACCTCATCAGTGAATTCAGTAAAGTGGCAACATTTAAAGTTAAGGGATATAAAATTAATATACAGAAATCATCTGCAGTTCTATACACTAACAATGAACTATCAGAAAGAGAAATTAAAAAAATAATTCAGTTTACAGTTGCATCAAAAAGAATAAAATACCCAGGAAGAAATCTAACCAAGGAGGTAAAAGACCTGTACTCAGAAAAGTGTTAAGTCATTGATGACAGAAATTGAAGACAACACAAACAAATGGAAAGATACACCATGCTCATGGATTGGAAGAATTAATGTTAAAATGACCATACTACCCAAGCCAATCCACAGATTGAATGCAATACCTATCAAAATACCAAAGGCATTTTTCACAGAACTAGAAAAATTAATCCAAAAACTGTATGGAAACACAAAAGACCCTGAATAGCCAAAACAACCTTGAGGAAGAAGAATAGAGCTGGCGGTATCATGCTCCCTGATTTCAAACTGTACTACAAAGCTACAGTAATCAAAGCAGCATGCTACTGGCACACACAAAAAAAGACACATGGGTCAATGGAACAGAGCAGAGAGCCCAGAGATAAACCCACACTTATATAATCAACTAATCTATGATGAAGGACGTGAGAAAACACAGAGGGGAAATGACAGCCTCTTCAGTAAATGGTGTTGGGAAAACTGGACAGCTACATACAAAAGAATCAAACTGGACTACTTTCCCATTCAATTTTAAAATGTTTAAAGACTTAAATGTAAGATCTGAAACCATAAAACTCCTAGAAGAAAGCATAGGTAGGTATGCTCTTGGACATCAGTCTTAGCAATGTATTTTAGGATATCTCTCCTCAGGCAAGGGAAACAAACAAACAAACAAACAAAAAACAAATGAGACTTTATCAAATTAAAACGCTATTTCACAGTGAAGGAAACTATCAATAAAACAGAAATGCAGCCTGCTGAATGGGAGAAGATAGTTGCAAACGTTATATCCAACGAGGGGTTAATATCCAAACTATACAGAAAACTCAGACAACTCAACATCACAAAAACAAGCAACCTGATTAAAAACTAGGCAGAGGACTTGAATAGACATTTTTCCAAAGAAGACATTCAGATGGCCAACAGACACATGAAAAGATGCTCAGTGTCACTAATCATTAGGGAAATGCAAATCAGAACCACAATGATGTATCACCTCATACTTGTTAGAATGGCTCTCATCAAAAAGACAACAAATAACAAACATTGGAGAGGATGTAGAGAAAAGGGAACCGTTGTGCACTGTTGGTGGGAATGTAAATTGGTGTCACCACTGTGGAAAACAGTAAGCAGGTTTTTCAAAAAGTTAAAAGTTGAACTGCCACACCATCTTGCAGTTCCACTTCTGGGTATTTTTCTGAAGAAAGTAAAAACGCTAGTTAGAAAAGATATATGAACCCCTTTACTTATTACAGCATTATTTACAATAGCCAAGATGTGGAAACAACCTAAGTGTCCATTGTCAATAGATGAATGGGTAAAAAAGATGGGGTATATATGTGTGTATACATGTATACACGCAGACACACACATATATATACATACATATGTATATACATAATATGCAGTGAAATACTGGCCATAAAGAAGAAGGAAATCTTGCCATTTACAGTAGCACAGATGGACCTAGAGAGTATTATGCTAAATAAGTTGGAGAAAGAGAAATAGTGCATGATTTCGCTTATATGTAGAATTCAAAACAAAACAAAACAAATGAACAGCCATAACAAAACAGAAACAGACTCATAACTACAGAGAACAAACTGGTGGTTGCCAGGGGGGTTGAGGGGGTGGGGATGAGGGAAATAAGTGATGGAGATTAAGAGGTACAAACTTCCAGTTATAAAATAAGTAAGTCATGGGGATGTCCTGTACAGCATAGGATATAAGGTCAATAATATTGTGTTAACTCTGTATGGTGACAGTCGGTAACTAGTTATCATGGTGATCGTTTTGTAATGTATTAAAATATGTAATCAGTTTGTTGAACACCTGAAGCTAATATAACATAGTAAATCAATTATGCTTCAGTAAAAGTTAATGAATGAATGGCTCATACAGCACGTGGCCTCTTGTGACTGGCCTTTCACTCAGCCTAATGTCTCCAAGGTACATCAGACTGTAGTATCTACCAGCACTCCCTCCTTCTCATCGCTTGCGTGAGTAGCCACGTTTTGTTTATCTTCTCATCCGCCCGTGGATGTTTGGATTACTTCCACCTTTTGGCTGTTTGAGTAAGGCTGCTGTGAACATTTGTGTGCAAGTATTTGTTTGAACACCTGTTTTCAGGTCTTTTTGGTATACACCTAGGAGTGGAATTGCTGGGTCTGACTTCGGTTTTTACCAGGATGTCCCTGGTGCTGTGTTGAGAAAGGTTTGAAGGGAGGAGGGAGGCGTGGAATCCAGGAGACGGGTGAGAAGCCTCCTGCGCTAATCAGGCGCAAGACGATGGTGACCCCGATGGAGGGTTGGTGATAGGAGGTCAAAACATGCTTAATCTCGAACACAGAGCCAACAGGATTTAATCTTGGACCAGCTATAGGGTGTATGAAAGAGAGCTGGGTCCAGAATGACACGAACCCTTTTTTTGCTGGAACAAATGGGAAAGTAGAGATCCTTGGCAGAGGGAATATCAGAAATCCCATTTTGGACGTGTTAAGTGTGAGACGCCAGTTAGAGCTCCAGTGGCAACGGCAGGGTTCTTTGGTGACTCCACTAATTTAATGCTTGTGTTCTAGAAAGAGTCGTGGTAAACAATAAATTACTATCTAGGTTGATAAGGAAACCAACACAGAAGATCTCTTCCCGGAAGAGGTGGCGAGTCTGCCGAAGGAGAGGCCTGGCCGCAGGGCCCGCGGCTCGCCCTTCACGCGGAGCAGCACCATTGTCCGTTCCCAGACTTTCTCGCCCGGAGCGCGAAGCCAGTACGTTTGCAGAGTAAGTCGGTAGTCCTTTGCCACCTGCCTGGAAGGATTCTTCATTGGTCGCGGGCGGGGCTGGGCAGCAGAGGGTTGGAGCTCCCGGCAGATCCTCACCTGCACGCAGGGTTGAGAACTCTGAGACAGGTGGAGGGGAAGACCCCCACCTGCTGTGGTCCGTGGAGACAGGACAGCAGGTTGGAGGTTGGCCGGCCGTGGCCGTGTGACAGTGACGGCACAGACTAGCAGAGACGAGGCGCTGTTGAGGGTAAGTGCTCACGACGCAGCAGACTGGGGCGCCGTTTGGCTCGAGCAGAGCTTTGACCCTCCCGCTCCTCTGACGGGGCTCGTTGGAGAAAGCATCTTCCCTTGAAAGGGCTACCAAGGAGCCGCTGCATTAGGGCGAAGCCAGAGTTTGATCATATGAGAGAGGCAGACCCTCAGGCCTACGTGGGAGACACTGAGGGGTCCCCAGGCCCACCCTCAGGCTCAGAAATTGTCTAGGACTCACGGAACTCAGCAAAGCCGTTGTATCCACGATGATGGTGCGCCGCAGGGAAGGGGTGCAGACCGACGCGCGGAGGGAAGAGGCGTCGGGCAGCGCTCCGGAGAGACTGGGCGGAGCTTCCAGCCCTTCTCCCGCAGCGGCGTGGTGCGGCAGCTCTCACCTCTCGGAGCAGTGGCAGCGTGCCCGGAGCACAGCCGACCAGGGACGCTCACCCGAGGCTTGGTGCCCAGGGGATTTGTGGGGGTGGTCACGGGGCACAGCTGGTGGCTGGCGTGGCTGACCTTTGTCTGCAGCCCGTCCAGGGTCAAGCTGGTGGCCCAGGGCCCCCTCACATTGTCAGCAGAGACTGTGTGGCCGGGCCAAGGTCCCCAGGTAAACAGAGACACTTAGAACGTTCTAGGGACTTACAGGTCACTGCCCAGGAGCTGAGCAGGGAGCCCACCTTTCTTGGGCAGGGAATCCTTTACTCACAGGAGGGAGCAACAGGGGCTGGGGCCCGGGTGGCCACGTTTGCGAGGCCTGCAGCTCCTCTCCCCACGCCCTGAGGTGTCCCGGTCGCGCTGCCCTGGGCAGCCCAGGGTCAGGCGGGGCACTCCCGCCTCATCAGGCTGCAGCCCTGTGGGGCCTGATGCTTCATCACGCGGCTGGAGGTGCCTGATCGAAGGCCATCCTTCCTTATCCTAGACTCCTGCCGAACCCCTGTGGAGCAGCCTCCCGCCTGCTTGCTGAGGAGGACGGGGCGGTGAAGGAGGAAGCCCTTCACCTCCCCAGAGACAGGCCTCCAGCCCCTGCACTGTGCTTTGCGCCCTGCACAAAGGCACGCACTGACCGGCGATGCTTCTAGAGGCCTCTGTTTTTATATGTGTTTGTGATGATTGGGAGGCACGTAAGTGCAGTGCTGTGACATTTCCTGATATCTGGGGTTCACTGGCATGGAAAGTAAGGCCGTGAAGGCCAGGACTTTGCTTTCACACAGATACATGTTGATCCTGAAATGAAAACCTGCCGCCAAATGAAATACGTAATGTCTCGGCTCCCGTGAAGTCGGCATTATTTATTTTTCTTTCTAAAGACAGGCCTTTTCCCTGGATGGGCAGGGTGGGTGTTAGTGGTGTGGGCTTGTCCTCCTGCCAGGAACGAGGCTCTTTTCTGGAACGCCAGTCTTCCCAGCTCTTGCCAAAGCTAGAAACACAGCAAATGAGAATGACTGATAAAAAGTAAAAAGCGCTGAGGAGAGTGCGGGTTTTCATGAGCGTCACACCGTATCAAGTGGCAGTTGGCATTGATAGGACTGAGATTGTGTTGCTCGATTAGCCTGGAAAACCTCAGCTGGTTCGGTTGATGGACCTGAAGGAGGGATGGGGCTGGGGGTTGGTCTGCTTATTTGGTTTGTCTTTGTTTGGCTTGAAACTCTTGTGTAGGGTTTTCTTGTAAGCGAAACCCAAAGTCTTGGTAAAAGCTCTAAACGTCATAACTGTTGGAGTACCTGCTCGAGAAACAAAATAATCCAGTTCAGAGTACACAGAGAATGAATGTTGAATTCTTGAGGAAATGTTTCTGAACCTCACTCTTTTTGCTGTAGCTTTATCGTAGTGACAGTGACAGTTCAACGCTGCCCCGGAAGTCCCCCTTTGTCCGAAACACTTTGGAAAGACGAACCCTTCGCTATAAGCAGGTATGTGCCACGTAGACTAATCTGCCGTCGATATGTACGCTGGGAGTTGTTTCTACAAACCTGAGGGGGTAATATTTTAGGTAAGATTAATTGAAAGGTAATGTGTTTATTTCCTTGTTTACTTAGATATAATTTTTAAAAGTATATAATGTCAATATGTTACCAATATTTGTTAATTTCCTAAGATAATGTCATAATCTAAGATAATACATGATCTTTACATTTTAAAATATAATAAATTAATAAACAGCCATTCTGTATAAGAGAGTCTTCTTTCTTTTTTGACAAGGGAGTATATACAGTTTAGAAAATTTGAGTCTTTCAACTTGGAGCATTCTCCTACATAGGACTGTTCTACAGTTTTCCTTTATATACACCGAATTTTTTCTCCACATCACGCCAGTTTACACACTTTTGCTACTTTTAATTTGTAAGGCAGTGTCCGGGCAAGAATTCTTTGAAAGAAAACAAAATTCCCAGATCTCCTTGTGGTGGTTGTATTTAGAGTAGCCGCTGACTGAGAATGATAAGAAAATACATAACTCAGCAACAAAAGTATTTCTCAGCAGCCATGCTGTTGGCATTTTGGCCTAGGTCTGTCTTTGTTGGGGGCTCTCCTGTGCACTGTGGGCCGTTGAGCTGCATCCCTGGCCTTGACCCGCTAGTTGCCAGTATCACCCCCTCCCCCAGTTGTGACGACCAAAAATGTCCCCTGAGGGCCCAAGTCACCCCTGGTTGGGAACCAGTGAGCTCTGCTATGAATTCAGCAGAGCTTTTAAATGAGGTTGTGTGTATTAAGTCACTTAGATTTGCATTTAACTTCTGTATATGTGCAAAATAGTGTTAGGGGTGTGTAAAACGCATACAGTTATTCAGTCCTCCGGACAACGCTGATAGGCTCGTGGATTTGTGATTTTGCTGCACTAACTGCCTTCCCCAGCGTTGTTAGCCATGGCGTGGGAAGTACCGCTCTCAGCTCCATGTACAAAATTCTATTCTTGTCTTAGAACTTTCTTGAAAACGGGAGACTTGCTTACTTCAGGCGTGTATGGGGAGGAGCGTTTTTTGTTGTTGTTGTTGATGTTTGGCCTCGCTGCGCGGCTTGCAGTCGTAGTTCTCCGACCAGGGATTGAACTTGCACCCCAGCATTGGAAGCGGGGAGTCCTAACCATTGGACTACCAGGGAATTTCCCTGGGGAGGAACGTTTTGGACAGCTTGTGTGTGTTTAACCAGAAAGCCCTCAACGTGGTTTATAACGTGCTTTTTTCCCGTTATACAGTAGGCCATTAAGATTTTGCCATGTCGGTATATTTTTCAACTTTTTACAAGAGCTGCGTTTCCTGCAGGCCTTATAATGTATTTGATCACTTTTCTCTTGTTAGGTGTTTAGGATTTTTTCTGTCATAAACCTTTTGCACATCATCAGCTGTGCCTTTCAGATGCAAGTCAAATGAAATTTCAGAACCAAAGAAAACAGAACATTTTGTGGCTCTTGCTTATATTGTCCAGTAGCACTTGAGAAAGATGACGCCCTCCTGCCCCGTGTGAGAGGGTCTGTTTCTCTGCGCTTTAGCCAAAGCCTAGGTCGTCATTACAGCGGACAGCTTGCTGTCACTGGCTCGTTACCGGAGTGGAGGTTTGAACCCGTGTCGCCCACATCCGTGTTGTGTTGGCGTCGGGCCACGCTGCGGGTTTCTCTCTCCAGTGGGGTCGGTCACTGGGGGAAGAAGCTGCAGGCAGGGCGCGGGCGGGGTGGGCGCGCTCAAGGCCGCCGTCTCGCAGCCCTGCAGGTGCTCCCTGGCGGCGCTGGCGGCGCGCACGTCCCTGGACCTGGAGCTGGACCTCCAGGCGTCGCGGACGCGGCAGCGGCAGCTGAACGAGGAGCTGTGCGCCCTGCGCGAGCTGCGCCAGCGCCTGGAGGACGCCCAGCTCCGCGGCCACGCCGAGGGGAGGGGGTAGGCGGGCGGGCCTTTCTCGCCTCCCGGTGCCCGGAACTGGCAGGGGCTTCCATCGCTCTTCCTTAAAACTGGAAGCAAACCCTTCTGTTCACCCCGCGTTGCTGTTCCAGACGAGACAGACCAAACTTGACTTCCATCAAGAACAGGCAGCTGAGAAGACGCTGAAGAAGGCCTCCAGAGGGGCGTGCCAGCTGCGCGGGCGGAACCTCAGAGAGCCGGTCCAGGTGCAGGCGTTCAGGTGGGGAGAAGCCCAGGCCTCACTCTACCGCGTGCTTTTTACTGGCATACCTTTGTCATTATAAAGAGTAAAGTAAGTATTGAGAAAGACCCACAAGGAAGTCGAGAACAAAGCAGGAATCTCCCCTGCTGTTAGCA